TGATCTCATAACGCTCTGAATCCTTCCCTGTTATCAGGGAGCACAAAAGAGCCTGAAACCAAGAGGATCCTCTGAAAAAAATCTAGATCTTCCCAAACCTTCGTAGCAAAGGTGAGGAACAGTGCAGCTTCGTTTAATGTGACTTGAAATGAATGCACATGGATTTTTGAACTTGGCAATGTCTCTAAAATGCTGTTGTAATAAAAAAAGATGGAAAGCCTTGTGGTTGAGGGTCTTGAGGGAGGTACCCACCGTTGCCCGGTGCCGTTGTCTGCCGTCACTGTTGGACATTGAGCACCACAGCTAAGCCCTCCTGTGCACGGCTCGGCTGCGTGCAGGGAGTTTGTATGTGGGGATTTCGTATATGTGGTTTGGTGAGGGACTGTCCACACAGGCACACACTGCCCGGGGTCTCTCCAGCAGAGGACATGGAAGGAACCTGCCCTGGGTTTGAGGGAGAAGGTAGCCGGCATCGATGCATGGGCATCCCACGGGAGCTGTGATGTGGAGGAAAAATGAACGCTGTGGGGCTTTCCATAATGCCCACTGGCTCTCCCCAGTCCCCTGCTAAGCAGGGCTGTTGGCCTCACAGCTGTCAGTACCGGGGAACCGAGCTGAGGTTAAACACCATGTCCGTGCTCGGAAGGGTGCTTGCTCCATGCAGCGTCAGCGGAGGGCAGGATGGGTGGGGTGTGTGTTTTGGGTTGGGGAGAGGTGGTCCATAGAGGTGAAGCCGCTGTTGCGTGTGGCGTGTTGGATAGTAGGGTGGTGACTGGTGGGACCATAATGAGAGCTACTGAGAGATCTCCTACGGGGCTTCTTCAGGGGATTTTAGGGAGGTCTCTAGCTGCAGTGAGCAGGGTGACTTTCTTCTCTTTTGTCCTTCCTTTCCCTTTTTTTGGTCTTTGTTAGTTTGTTGGGTGTTTTTGTGATTTCTTTCTGGCTGGGAGCAGGACTAAGCCTAGCAGAAGATTGCCTGAAGGCATCCCTGGTCGTTGTTTGGGCATTAGCACTGCTCGTGGCTTACGGCTGCCTTTCCCATAGGGCCCTGCGAGCAATCTTGTCCTGCAGGGAAAGGATCTCATTTCGTCATCCTCACTTTATTCTCTTTGATTTTCGATTCTCTGTGCTTTCAGGCCTGGGTCCTCGTGCCCCTGGTGTTGCTTTCCCAGGGAACACTGCTGGAGTGGTCCGTGGGAGCAGCCTGCAGCTGGCTCAGACCCCAAGTGGAGGCATCTACATGGGGTTTAGTTGGATCAGGAGTGTGGTTTGGGAGTGAATCTCCCAACTGTCTCCACTTACTGTGCTTTGGTTTGCATTGAGGAGCCATCTTAGAGCACTTGGGCACAACTCCTTTGGATGAAATGTAGGGGGAAGACGTGCTCCAGCCCAAATGGGCAGCCAGTGCATGAAACTGGGCTCGAGCTCATCCAAAGGAGTAAAAAGCCCTGAATCATGTCTAGCACGAGGTCCTCCTCCTCAGCTGTTTTGCTCTGTAGGGCTTCTCCTGGTCCATGCTGTTTGCTGCTGTATCCCTTGCTGGTCTTCTCTTGAGCACGGGTTCTTTGTGCAGCCACGAAGTCTGGTGGTGACCCTACTCCAAAGTTTTCATGGTGTTTGCTAGCTCCGGGTGCTTCAGCAAAGGAGCCTGATTCCTCATCAGGACAAGTGTTCACGTTCCCATCATAGCACAGTCATGGCTCTGGTACTGTTTTGGGCTGTATAAAGCCGTAAGTAACTGCCTGATTGGCAGAGATGGGTGATGCAGAGAGGATTTGCAGAGAGCGTGGATACACATTAGGAGCCTTCGTGAGGCTGTGCTTGCTGGTGGCCGTGTCAGTGATCTGGACATGGGGATTGAGTACACCCTCAGTCAGTTTGCAGGTGACACCAACTTGAGTGGGAGTGTTGGTCTGCCTGAGGGCAGGACAGCTCTCCAGAGGGATCTGGGCAGGCTGGATCCATGGGCTGAGGCCTCTGTATGAGGTTCAAGCAGGGCAAGTGCTGGGTCCTGCCCTTGGGCCACAACAACCCCCAGAAATGCTGTGGGTTTGGGGATGAGGGGCTGGAAAGCTGCTCGGGGGAAAAGGACCTGGGGGTGCTGGTTGACAGCAGCTGAATGTGAGCCGGTGTGTGCCCAGGTGGCCAAGAGGCCAACGCCATCCTGGCCAGCATCAGGGACAGTGTGGCCAGCAGGACCAGGGCAGGGATCATCCCCCTGTGCTGGACACTGGTGAGGCTGCACCTCGAATCCTGGGGTCAGTTTTGGGCCCCTCACAGCAGGAAAAACACTGAGGGGCTGGAGCGTGTCCGGAGAAGGGAACGGAGCTGGGGAAGGGTCTGGAGCACAATCCCTGTGAGGAGTGGCTGAAGGAGCTGGGGGGGTTCAGCCTGGAGAAGAGATCCTGCCCCGTTTCCTCTAGCTTTAGGAGATGCTGTAGCGTGGCCCTGTTTTGTGGAGGACAGTAACGTTGGTCTCCTGTGTCGGTCTCTTCTCCCAAGTGACAAGGGATGGGACAAGAGGAAGCAGCCTCAGGTTGTGCCAGGGGAGGTTTAGGTTGGGTATTGGGAATCATTTCCTCACCCAAAGGGCTGTCAGGCATTGGATCTGGCTGCCCAGGGAGGGGGGGAGTCACCATCCTGTGAGGGATTTCAGAAACGTGTGGATGTGGCACTTGGGGACATGGTTTTTGTTGGCCTTGGCAGTGTTGGGTTAACAGTTGGACTCAGTGACCTTAAAGGTCTTACCCAACCTCAGTGGTTCTGTTCTGAAGAGCAGCAGCAAATCCTTGGGCTTCCCTGGAAACGTTTTCTGGCAGAGTCCTAGGAGTGATGCAGACGATTCCAGCTGCACCTGGATTCAAGCTGTGTCTCAGATGGTCCCCGCGGCTTGCTGCTGCTCAGGAGCAGATGTGGGGCTTGGAAGCAGTTACGTTTCTTCCATACGTGTGTCAACACATCCAGGTTGTGTGTGGATGGATGGAGAGGTTTCCCATCTTCTACTGTGTAAGAGAAGCATCTGCCAAGGTCGT